AAGTAATAATAAGCAGCTATCCTAGTTTTTCAAAAAAAAAAAAAAAAAAAAAAAAAAAAAAAAAAAAAGATTTTGCGCAAAGAAAAACTGTGCATGAATAACCACTTCATGAAATGAAAATGTGACTCCAGTCTAAAATGGTGAAATTTTTGAATTTCAAATGATATAACAGATTTCCTCACCTGCTGATTGATCGATGGTTTAGGCACTATCATTGTTATATAATCTTCATTGAGCATTTCTTCACATATACCATTTATAAAGAAATTTTACTTGTGACAATAAAAAGCTTGATTCGCAGCTTCTTGAATGGTATTTATCTTCATTTCAGTGTGTAAAAATTTTAATACCTGTTGCTGATTGATGGATGTACAATAGAAAAGAACATGTTATTTTTTACTAAAATTTTAATTTTGATAATATGATAATACAGTCAAATACCAAAAATCCGCATTGCCTCTCAAAGTATAAACATTCAGTTTATATGTTCCGGAAACCACAACATAGAGTACGAAATATCGAAGAAAAAATATTTACTGAATAATGATGTCATAATTACTGAATAATAATGAGTCATAACAGAAATACCAAATTATTAACATCATGATAAAAGTTTTTTTTTGGTACTATTCGGTTTTGAGAGCAGTAAAAAATCGCCAAACTATTGTTGATGCCAGTGCTGCCAAAAATAATTGCAGTAACCCTAACGCAAGAAAGGAAGTATAATAGTAAATAAATATCCAAGATTGATGTTTTTATTTAGATGAAAGGTTAATTTCATATAACACTTTTTCATTATTATAATTTATATATAAAAGGCTAAACATGACTGAATGGAAGCATAAGAGTAAATAACTATTCAGATCATTATTATAATTTACTATATAAAAATTGCTAAACATAGCTGAATGGATGCCTGCATCACTATTTCGCTACCGAGTTATCGCTAAAGTATAATGTCATCTCGTTTGTTGTTTAAACATAATTTTGTATAATGAATGATGCTTTTTCTTTGAAAACATTCTCAGGTAAAGTGCAGAATCGCCCACATATTTGTTTGACGCTTTTTACAACGGTAAAAACAATTGGATTTTTGTCAATTTTCTTTTACTTTTTAAGTGACAATAGGTCGATGTGTACATAGATAAACTCAAGGGTGTGTGCGCAGTGCCATTTTTGTGAAATTCTGGGATTTTTTTTAAAGTGAAAATAAGTCGATGTGCACATGGATACAGAGTATGTGCAATTCTTAAAAATGCATCAAGCAGTGGGTGATTCTGCCACTTTACCCAAAATTCTATCACAGACGTTTCGTCATGGGCAATTCCCAAATTGTTAAATCCATAGGATATCAACAAAGGATTTAAAAATTAAACTAGTATTTCAATGGTGTGTCTTTAATTGAATAAATCAATCGTCTTAAGAAATATAGAATTATATAAACTTACGCAATCTGAAATCAGCGCATACGCTAGATTTGGCACACTATTAAATGGACACGTTTGCTAGATTTGGCGCTTTTGCGCATACGTTTTCGCGGCAATATTTTTACGACCCTCAAAACGGAATAGTACCTTTTTTTCTGTCCAATCTGCATCAAGGTAAAAAAGCAGACGATTCACTCAACTCTTCTTTCAAGTTCACGATTCCCGTTGTATTTTCTGAGCTTTGTTATTTCACGAGATTGTTTAGTGCTACCTTTTTTTTCCCCCAGATATTTTGTGGATAAATTAAGAATATTTTTAATTTCAGTGCTTTTTAATACGACAGATAAGAAACGCACTCATGATTTTTCTGCTTGCAACGTTGAAAAACGTAAACACTTTGCACAGATGGTAATGCAAAAAGTGCAAATTCTGCAAAAGATAAAGGCAGGTGCTACTCCTCGGTTTGCAGCAGAATCGTATGGAATTGTGACACGGACTGTGTATGATATACTGACAAATAAAGAAAAGCTGTTGAAATTTTACAGCAACAGTGATTCTAACACCGGAAATCTTTGCATAAGGTGAAATTGGCAAACCTAGATGCTGTGTACATATAACACAATTAATAATAAATTAATAATCAATTTATATATGTAATAATAATTTAATGCATATAATAAATTATTGTAATAATGTATATAATAATTTAATTAAATGTATCTAATACGCCTCATTTATTTTGCACTTCTAGCATGAATATTATGATTTATCTTTTCTGTCCTGAAATCCACACAACTTCTGGTCCCAAGCTTTGCGGATTTCTGGACTTCTACTGTAGTAAGACTAAACCAAATAAAAATATATATATATATATATAGCCAGAAAATTGAGGAAGAGTGCTATTTACAATGCTAGCTGAATTTAAGGTAATTTGAATTTATTCTTTCTTACTTCGGGCCGACCAGCAGCCGAATGGTAAAGTCGCTGAACACTAGCAGTTCGGTCCGAGGTTCAAATCCCGCGAACGGGCTGGCTGCATGGGCATTTTTGTGGTTTTCACCATGTGTAACGTGTATATGAGCCAGTTTTCCTTAGAAAGTCCTCCACAAAGGCATCACTCCCCTTAGGCAGATAGCCCTAGCGTGCTTTGCCATAATTAAATAAACCAAACTTTCTTCCTTCTTTCCTGCTATGCTAGCAAAAGAAAACCAGTATCTACAGCATTTCATTCCAACCAAACATAGCTCTTCAGGTTTCAGTTACTATGCACAGGCTATATAAGACAGGAAAATGCCATCCGACATTCCAAACCTGCCCAAACATTCAAGGATCAAAAATGAAAATCAAAGTTCACTCACAGTAGGAATAGATTCCTACTTTCCTCCATGGCTTGATTAGCTAGCAGGTGTTTAAAGGTGAAATGCCATGTAGGATAATTTAATACTGTTGCAGATAATGATTTTTCTCAGCAAAAGAAATTTCAGATAATTGGAAAACTGTACTCAGAAAAAGAAAACTAAAAAAAATGAGGGGGGGTGTTAAGTGTTATATGGGAAGTCCAATCTTAGTTACTTCAGGATATCAAGCCAATCAACAATGAACACACTTCACAATCTTAGAATGCTCTTTTTGGAATGATTCTTTTTTTCATTTTTATCACAGTTATTTAGGGAATTAATTATTGGCTAAATTGGGTCATATTTTCTTGATAATAAATTTTTTTTGCGACAAAACATTATCAAGGATATTTTTGTAACTTATGTCTAGTTTTTTCTTGTCTGTAAAAGATATATCCTTATTTTATAATCATTTGCTATCCTTTCTCTCACCATACAGTACATCACCATATCAAGCATGTACATAGAATTTGCCACTGATGAAATCAAATGATAGTAATGTAGTAATCTTTCAATCTAATTCCCACCACTGGCCAAGCCATAAGACAGCTGAGCACTGCTAGTTCAAATACTGGCAAACGGACTAGCTAGAAAAAGTTTTTTTGTGGTTTTTCCTCTTGTTCAACGTAATTAAAAGCTAATTTTCTGAAAGATGTCCAACCTGCAGGCAACCAGTCTTTCGCGCTAATAGCTGTTGTGTGCTTGCCATAATCCAAGAGTTGTTTGATAGGGTAACCAAAATGTTACTAAGATATTTTGTCATCAAAAGAATTTCTGACACACACACACGAAATCAATACCAAGAAAATGTGACTATGCATAACCAAGTATCATTATTTCAAATGCAGAAAAAATAATGGCATTTTCCACAAATATTATAAAAATGATAAGGGAGGAAAAATAATCAAATTTGAATGGGTGTAAAAAAGTTTTTTTTTTTTTTTTTTTTTTTTTTTTTTTAGAGGAGAATTGCAGCAAAGATCTGAAGAATATGGTTTTGTGTTTTCTCCCCATCATCTAAATACCTCTAGCATTATTAACAAATGCTTCAGATAATACTACAGGTTCAGCATGACTACAGCACCTATGTTGAAAAGCTGCTTTTCTTCGCTTAAACAGTATCTTTAACCATCTGAGCATCATGGCCAGCTTTATCTGTTCATAAGATTTATTATCACTCAGTATATATTAGTTTATACTTTAAAATATTTTGCTTTCTTTCTTTCTTTTTTTAATATAAATGTCATCTTAATAAATGTAAGTTTATGAAAATAGAGACTAAAATAAGTAAATACACAAATTTAGCTAATAAAGCCTCTTTAAATACTGGATCTTGATGAATCCAAAAACTTGTGCTGCTCTGAAGATTAAAGTGCTCACAAAATAACACAAATCAGATAAAATAATCAGTAAAGCTCAATAAAGTAATAGATTTTTTTAAAAATTAACTTTGGTGTTAGTTACTTGTAAATGTTGATGTCAATTCTGAATCAAGGGAGGATGGCAAACCTAAAGATTAAAAACTTCATAAACAAATTGACTGCTGTATTAAATCCAAAACAACTAAAAAAAAAAAAAATACAGAAATTTGCAAATAAGAGCACAACAGCTATCGACAGTTGCACAGTGATTCATTGCCGCATTTGCAGTTCACAAAATTCTTCCACTTGCTTGGTACCAGTACCAAATAAACCTTATACCTATCAATAAAGAAACTGTGTGAAGCTTTGAATCGTCATCCACTCTATAAAACATCTCTTTTAAGGAATGACCTTTTAGACTATATCTTTGCATTGAAAGAATTTAATCACAATTATCCCCCTCCCTCCCAAAAAACTTTAAGAAAATAAGATAGCTACAGAAAATTTTAGGGTAAATTGCTGGATTAATGTTCAGTCTTGTTTATTTGCAATAGTACCTTGCATACCTACTCACAAGGTGAAATAAACAGGTTACCATATTTGGCACTTAAGTATAACACCTGCAATTTGCACACGATTAACTAAAACTAACAATAATGTATATGATAAAAAGTGAAAAACTGGTTTAAGTTTTAATCCCATCAGCAGGAATTTACATGAAATAATTTTTTTCTTTTATTAACTGTTATAAAGGATGCAAAAGATACATGTAAAACTAGCTATTTAAATTAAGATTAGCTAGCCTGACATTTTACCTCGTAATTCTTCCATATGAAATAACAATTCTGGAAGCTGTCTATCAACAAGATCTTCTGCTTGTGTACGTGCTCGGCCTTGCCGCTGAGGTAAATTTTCACAATGTCTCAACAACCAGTGTACTTCATCACGAGCAAATGACAACCCCATAAATACAAATAAAACCTAAAAATATGAAATCATAATTTATAACTTCTTTATTCATAAATGAAATGCTACAATGCTATGGATTCATGAAAGACATTTATTTGATTCATAAGAAGGCATGTTTACTTTTGGGCCAAAGAGACCAGGTTGATCAGCAAGAATTAAACCCAGTTCTTTTAATGCTGTTCTTAAAAATTTTCGTCGTTCCCTATGAACAAGGCACCTATAGAAAATTTAATAGAATCAATACTAGTTCATTGCAAATCAAGGAGCTAACTTAACAGTCAGAAGGTCAGAATGAATGATGCATTAGTTTCACAGAATTCATCTGATTATGGAAAAAATTACATCGAACTTACGCATTTTGAATAGCATAATTGAAACAATCCTTCACCTCTGAAACACGTTTGTTGTACCTTTAAGAAAATAAGTATCTTACATTAAAAACACTTTGAAATAAGGTTGACTAGCACAGATTATGTTTGACAACACAATAAATAGCATGAAATATATAACGAAAATACTTGAAATAATGATTTACAGCCCATTATGTAAGTATTCATATGCAGCGATCTTGTTCACTTGCAAAAGAGACATGCTCTTGGATCAGATGCTAAACTACTCATCTGCAAACTAAACAGTTTGGATCAGATGCTAAACTACACATCTGCAAACTAAACAGTTTGCAGTTTCACTTTAGCTCGTGGAAACTATAGTGATTCCAACTCTCATCAATACATGATGCCATTACCATAAGATAATAAAAAATTTACACAGTGTATTGTATAAAGATTATATATCTGTAGATTAATTACAACACATAGGATGTGACTGCTTCTTTAAAGCTCTATTCTCCAAGCACATCAAAACACTGGAGCTTACTTGAATGCTCTTCTTGACTCACAGAATGCAACAGGTCACTTGTGCTAACTTTAAAATATTATTTTGCACATCAAGGAAGGGATAAGCAATTATCTTGCAAGAAACACATGGTACATTTAGAGCCTGAACTCCATGCTTTTACTTCAGTTGCAAATGTCATTTCATTGACAGATGATACCATTACGGTAACCTAATGCAGCAAAATTACAAAGCCAAATCTTTACAAATATTCCCAATGCTTAACTCCCTCTTACTCATAGTAATAAAACACATAATACAAACAAAACATTTTATGCAATATGATTTCATTTTCCAAATAGTATCAAACAATTATATCAAACTAAAAGCTAAGAAAGAGAAAGTAACTATAATTTTTTTTGATTATTTTTTAAAGTATGAAAAGTTTTTTAAATCTTAGGTAGCCAAAGATCCACATGCTTATTAGAGGTAAGGAAATGTTATAGCAGAAAATTCAGTATGCCAGCGGTTCTCAACCATTTGACTAACATGTACCATCTAAACAAAAATTGAAAATCTGTAGTACCACTATTGAACAAAGCTCAGATCGCATAAATTTACAATTCTTAGAGAAAAAAACTCAATCAGAATGCTGTGGTTTTAATTTTTGAATTTTATAGTTAAAAATACTTTGCTTCTTTGCTTACCACCTATTTTTCTCTTGCGTACCACTGGTTGAGAACCCCTGGTTTATACTAAATGCAAAAATAATACATCATAAATTAATGCTACTGATTTTAGTATTAGCAAAAAAAGCACATAATACTGTCTTATACTAATTATATACTCTTTTTTCATCAAATACATCAATTATAGAAATCCTTAAAAATCATCTCATGTCCTCTACAACACGATTCTTCAAAAGGACAGCATTTTAATCCACAGAATAAAGAAAAGAATTTTTTGAACAAGATTTTCAATGACTTGCTTATATACAATTAAAATTTTGCAATAGAAGTTTAACCCATAACCATATTATACTTCAAGCAGAAAGCATATTTCACACCTGTGTATTTATACAATCACTAGGAGTCGCCAAATTTTTAGAATGTGCCAAACCCTGGTAACCACAAGCTTAACAACTCTTCAGTTTTGGCAAGCAAAGCCATCATTTCTGCATGTATTATTTTTGGTGCATTCCAAGTTGCAATGGCTTTTATTGATAAATGCTGATAAATTTTTGTCTTAATCAAAATTTTTAAATGTGCTTCCGGGATTTGCACAAATTATTTTCACAGGAACACAGTATTTTGACCATAAGACTGCGAAGTCAACATTTCAGGTATTATTTCCTGTATGATTCCTTTCCGGAAGGGCATACCATATATGCATCACCGGAGAATACACATATGGGATGGGTGATGCGTATATGCATTTTAAGCAGAAACATTTTTCAAAGATCATTAAGATGGCATTATGTCTGAACTTAATATATAGTTTAAAGATCTTGACTTCAGTTTAATCACGTTCTGGTAAAGTTGGAGTCAGCTATTGCGGGAGAGGGAGGGTTAGCTTAATGTAAACAAACAGAGCTCGGGCTCTTAACTCGCCACTTGTTATAAACATTCACATTTCTGATATCCCGAATCCTTTTATTGCTACAGTACAAAGTCCGTAATCCAGACTCGTCGGGACTTCGGCGATTCCGGATTAGGGAGTGAAAAATTGTATCTTTCAAATATTTACCAATGTAAGTTATTATTTTGTTTATATTTTATTTTTATCTTTGAATAATTCATGCTGAATTTTATTTTTTGACGTGTTTGTAACTGTGTGATTTTTTTAGAGTTAGGTCTGGCAACTAAAAATTACTAAGTGGTTCTATTTTTTTATTTTAAGAGTAATATTTATTCTGTGTTCTGGTTATAGAAGAGAAGCATCTTTTGTGATGTGAAGATCACGTATGATTCGATGTGCTTACTTAATAATGTATTTTATAAACAACTTGGAGTTTTAATGAAGTTTTACTGACTTGTAGATTTTTGAGAGGCAATTATTTGTTACTGGCTCCGCAGAAGGGTTGGAACTGAACTAAAGTACCAATTTTTTCATTTTTTTAAGTACGGAACTAAAAACTAGCAGTACCAAATCTAATTATTTTCTAAGCGTGTAATAATCTGTCAAGAGAAAATAATTTAAGTGACGAAGAAAAAATTTTAGAATTAAGGGTTATTCAAGAGAAATCAAAATTAATGATTTCAGCTGAAAATGATTTTAAGCAAGAACTATTTAAACAAGTTATTGATGAAAAAATTAACATAAAAGAGGTTGATGAGTCAGAATCATGTTTAGATAGATGGAGAAAGTTAGAATGCAAGATGAATAAATTATTAAAAGTGTCAGAACAGAAAACTGGTTTACATATAGGATGTGTGTCATTTTCGCAAATTCCTAATACAATGTTGCATTATCCCAAGATAAAATTACTAGCATTTAATGGTGATTTAAAATATTGGCTTAATTATTGGGAACAGTTTAAGAAAATTGATAATGACGCTAATATTGATAATCAAGATAAATTTACATATTTATCCCAGGCCATGCAACAAGGTTCTGTTGCAGAACCATTAATTAAAAGTTTCCTGCCAAGCGGCGAAAGTTAGAAAAAGCGGTAAAACATCACATGGTGTTTGGAAAGGATGAACTTGAATCAAGTTCATTTAAGAGATTCAATGGCTTTATACTCAAAAGCAAAACAACACTGTGGTCTTAAGAAAACTTATGACCAGTGGAATCTAAGTTCTGATTTGAAAGTTCTAGGGGTTACTAGAGATAAATATGTAGCCATGCTTTTTCCTTTTGTTGAGTCTTCTTTGCCTGATGAGACACTTAGAGCATGGGAATGTTACCGAGCAGTTAATCGTAGAATCTAGAGATTTAAATTCACAAAACGGAGAAAATTCTGAGCAGTCAAACAGAATTGGAAGAGCGAATATCTCTAGCTTCCCAAACATTTGATCAAAAGAAGGCACGAAAATATAACAACAAATGCAGTGTTAAAATACCTTTTGAAAATAAAATCAGGAGTACTAAATAGAAATTTGGCAATCCATTCCTGTGCGTAGTACTTCCGAACTGTTTACAGCAGCCCAAGGGCAAAAATTGTGCATATTTTGTTGAAATCCTCATAATTCTTGGTATTGTAGGAATGCAAAAAATATACTTCTAAATGAGAGAGAAACTATTGTTGGGAAATCACGTTGCTGCTTTCTCTGCCTGAGACATGGACACCGAGTAATGAAATGTGATGAGAAATCGAATTGCGTACTATGTGGGAAAAGACATCATGTACTTCTGTGCAGAAATATAGCTACAGTAAGTGCACAAAATTCTAATAAAAAGGAAACAGAGTCTATCAAAACTGATTTAGAGAGAGATCAGGCACTTACCAATGTATCAAGTGCACCTAATGTTATGTTACAAACTTTAACAGTAATTTTAAGATGCAATGGTAAAAAGCGTAAAGCTCGAGCTTCTCAGAGGTCTTACATTCTGAGTAAAACAGCTAAAGAGATGGAGTACAAAGCCTTAAGAAATGAATACCTTCAACACTCACTATTCGGAGGAAGTAATACTAAAATGTATAAACATGACGTGTTAATGATATATTTATCAAATATGAAGTGTACATATAATTGTCATTTCAAAACATTAAGCCAACCTGTAATATGTGATACCATGCCACCAGTAGCATCCGAATTGTGTCTAAAAGGAATGTGGCAAGTTGATGACTGGTGATTATAAACTTCTACTCAGTGGTCTTGCAGCCATTGAAACAAAACTAGGGTGGATGATTATAGGTCGAATCCCAGCAGCATCGTCCAGTGAGATGACAACTTTAATTTCAATGTTAAATAAAAATGCTTGTATAATAGATTTGTGGACATTGGATAGTTTAGGTATCAGAGACCCATCAGAAAGCAAAACTAAATCCGAACTTGAGGAAGCTGCTAAGTCTCATTTTTTAAATACCGTGTAAATCGAGAACGAACATTTTATGGTAAGTCTACCATGGATTGAAGGTCACTGTCTAGTTCCAGAGAACTATGACTATGAAGAACTATGACAATCTCTCAAAAGATTGAATTCTACATTTAAGAAATTAAAAGCTGATGGCTAATATGAAGATTATGGAAATATATTTCAGGAATGTTGAAAGAAGGTATCATTGAGGAAGTACCATTGAGTGAAAAAGATGTTCCTTGTCATTGTCTGCCTCACAAACATGTTGAAAAAGAAAACTCAGTGCACATTCAACTTATACAGGCTAGAGCAAGAATTTCACCCTGTGGATAAAGAAGATCTAGCATTGCCCAATTGGAACTTCTCGGCACTACTATCACTGCTCTACTTTTGTCAAGCATACTAAAAGATCTTCCAGTTAAAAAGGTTTACTGACTCAACGACTGTGCTCCCTTGGATAAGAAGAGAAGATTCATGGGGTGTTTTCGTCCATAATAGAGTAAAAGAGATATTAGATTTGACATCTAAAGAAACCTGGAGATATTTTCCTGGTACAATGAATCCAGCAGATCTTCCTAGCAGAGGTTG